CAGCCCCCTGCCCTGCCCAGAGCAAAGAGCTGAGGGGGTCCCAGCTTGCCTGGGGCGCTCCCAGGACAGCCCCCTTCTCCCCCTGCAGTGTGTATGGTTTAGCTTGTGGCCATCATAGTGAAAATGGCCATTTTTGATGGGACTGGAGCCACCAGGGGGAACCACCTTGTCAGAAATTAAAAATGTTGTCTTCCCTGTCATTGTTCCCATTTGGATGGAAACCAAAGATGCTGGCTGCTTGCTACATTGTAGGAAGGGGGTGGCTAGTGAAGGGAGAGGGAAGTGAGGCAGGGCAGGGTCAGGGCCTGGTGAGAAGGATGGGAGGGGAACAGCAACTACTTCCATACAGATCCCTTTGGTGTTGAGGGAGTCCAGGTGTAAATTTTGGAGCAATTTTACCTCTGCTGCAGGTGCAAATTTGCCCTGAAAACCTCAGAAATCAGGAGCTGGCCAAGAAAATGGTCCAGCTGATGTTAGGAATCAGCCACGGTGGCTGGAGAGGTGTCCCTGGATGTTGACCAGTGTGGGAGTACTGCCACCCGCTCTGGAAAATGCGGGGTTTTCTCCCTGTCATGGACAGTAGCATCTCTAGGTCCCTCATCCTCTTCTTCACTACCTTTCAGGGTTACAGCAGCCTGCGCTTCCGGCCGATCAGGACGCTGAGCTCGGCAGTGGAGAACCTGAGACGGTGTAAGGTTGTAGGAGTGATTGATAAGGTAATGACTCGACCCACAGCTGTGGAGTGAGGCTGGGCTGGACCAAGGGGAGTGTAACTTGGAGGGTCCTGGCAGTTGGGATGGGGTGCCAACCCCCAGTGCACCCACCAAGGGACACGAGGGTTACCATCCGCACCATTCCCAACAAGGAAAACTTGCAGGCAAGGGTGCAAGACCCTTTAGAGATTAGCTGGGAAATCTGTTAATGTCCCAGTGCCTTTTGCTTGCAAGATCTCCCAAGATATTTACAAGGAGCTGGATGCATCCAGTTCTTTCCCTTGCATAGCGTCGTGCTTGATGCCTAGGTACCATGATGGTAGTGGACTCCTATGGATAATCTCGGCTTCGTCAGAAGACGAGCTGTACAGGTCAATCGACTAATCAGTAATTCATGATCTTGGAGTGAAGGTAGCTTACCGTCTCCATACTCACACTGGCGTGTGGCTCTCCTCTGGCTTCACACATCCCAGTTTTCAGGGCTGATGTGGTGCTGCTCTCCTGCCGAGGCCCAGGCGGGCAGCCTGGTGTGCGCCCCAGAGCCCAGAAGGAGCAGTGCGAAACCTTTCCTTGTGAAGGAAGCAAAAATGGTGTGGGAGCCACCTCTTTCTTTAATTAACTCTCTACTCCCTGACTGTCTCATTGCTCGTAACCTCTGGTTTGTCTTTTGAGGGAAGGGGTTTGAGCACCACCAGAGCCCTCTAGTTGGGTGGGAGTTTGTTGTTCCAGAGTTGACTGCCAGGATCATCCCTGTAGGCCGCGTGTTGGGGTGGGAGCAGTCATGGCCTCTGATGGTACTGTATGTACTTCTCCCAGGTGCAGATTGTCCAGGATCCGGCCACTGGTGGGACCTTTATCCTGAAGGTGGGTGTTTTTGGTTCCATCTGCCTGCTTCTTCCTGTCATGCCACAGCCTCCTTGTCCAAGCCGATGGCTGGGGCAGGTGAGAGGACCAAAAAATAGCAGATCACGGAAGTGTGAGAGGAAGTTCATTGTTTGTAAAGCTTCTTTTGGCTGCCTCAGCCATCTTCTGCGATCGGAAGGGAAGTGGTTCTCCTTGGTCATCCATTCCTCTGCCTTGTGCGTGGTCAAGGCAAGCCTTATGCCCGTGTTAGTCTGGGTCAACCCCTGAAACAGGTGGTGGGTGAGGTCAGTACAAGTCCCAGCGCATTTCCCAGTGCCCTTGGAACTAAAAATAGGGGACTTCTTCAATAATTGGACAAGGAGGCTCTGGCATGCTGGGGAGAAGCATCAGTTGCAGAGGGGAGAGGAGAGAGGGCTGGGATGGTGGGTTCTCATCTGATGGAAGTAGGGGCTGCTGTGGGGGAAGGGCACCGCTGTGGACCAGCAGCGTCCTCTGGGTCCCGCAGCGCAGGTGGGGAGTGCTCTGCCTTGGCAGAGCTTTGCAGAGCCCTGCCTTGTCACAGCTGGGGGCCGACAGGGAGCTGCGTTGCAGGTGACGCAGTGGGGTAGCCATGGGACTTAGCAGATGGCTCGCTACCTTTCTGGCTGGCATCCTGCCCTGCCAGGTGCTAGCGTGCAGGGAGTCCAAGCCTTTACTGTGCTGTAATGTCCATCTACCTGTACCTCCTCAGAGCCTCCCCAAATCCCATGTTGAGACCCGTGAGCGACAGACCATCATCCCTCATGGGGTCCCCTTCATGGTCAAGCTGCTGTGCTACTACGTGAGTGAGGACTCCATCTTCCTCCACCTGGAGCACGTGCAAGGTGAGTAGGGACAGCATTGCCTCCCATCCATGGGGCAAACTGGCCTTAGGGACCACTGAGTCCCACGCGAGGGAATGGTCATGCCTGGAGGTAAAGAGGTTGATGGGTCCCAGTGTCTTGAAAAGAAAATCCTCTTCATTTTACTGGCATTGCTTGTCCATGGCAGGAAAGTGATGGAGAGGGAAAACCAAGTGAGGTAGCTCACCTGGATGTTGTAGAACAAAACAATCTTTTGATATGACCTTTATAAAATATTTTTTGGTTACAAAAGAAGAGGCCACATGGGAGAGGGATTTCTTACGTGGGCATGTAGCTATAGGACAAGGGGTAATGACTTTAAATTGAAAGCTGGTAGATTTAGATTGGGGATAAGGAAGAAATTCTTCATGGAGGGGGTGGTGAGACATTGGAACAGGTTGCCCAGAGATGTTGTGGATGCCCCATCCCTGGAAGTGTTCAAGGCCAGGCTGGATGTGGCTTTGAGCAACCTGGTCTAGTGGAAGGTGTCCCTGCCCATGGCAGGGGGGTTGGAACTAGATGGTCTTTAAGGTCCCTTCCAACCCTAACCATTCTGTGATTATGAGATCAGACCAAATAGGGGAGATGGAGAATCAGGACATAAAGGGAAGGGAGTATGTTGGAGTTTGGGTACAACAAGGTGACGAGCTTAGGGCTTGTCCCAGATCATGGTGAGGAAGTGTGACAATGTGGAGGCCTATCCCAGGGAGCTGCTTTGTTCTCTGCTGGTTGCATGGATGTGTAGGGAGCGGCAGCAGGAGTCCAGCAATGACAAACGAAGGCTGATGTGTGTGGGAGAACAGCCTAAGCTCCCCATGTGTTGCTGTAGGACGAGTTTGCAGAAGGCAGTCAGCAGCTGAATGTGCCGAGGCTGGGAAGCCCTGTCAGCATGCCGTGGGCTCACTGCTCTGTCTCACTGCTGACCCTTGAGCTCTGCGCCGTGCTGCAGGAGATCTCTAGCACTGCTGTTGTGCATGGAGGAAAGGCTTTCATGGGAAAGTGGGGATGGCAGTGGGATTGGGGACATGTGTGAAGATGTGGCTGGCCTTTGACATGGAGGTGGCAGAGCTGGGATCAAGGAGACCATGTAAAAGGGAGAGCAGGGCTGCTAAAGGAGGAGGGACTGAGCCTTTGGCGTGCCAGGTCCCACGGGAAGTGTGGTGTTGAGCATGATGTGCTGGTAGGGCTGGGAAGTATTCTGCATGGACTTGAGCTTTGCTGGGGAGATTAACGATGCTCGGTCACATCCCCAGCATGCGGGCCTTGGCCTGTGCCTGAGTGGGCTGTGTCCGCAGCAGGGGAACCAGGGATGTTTTCTGCCCATCACTTGTTCTTCTCTCTGCTTCCCAGGGGAGACACTGTGGTCTCACCTCCGCTCCAAGTACCGTGTCCAGCAGGACTCTGCCTATCCAAACTCCGTTCAAACCCTGAGGGACTGTGGCAGAGAGAACGGCATTGGAAGCTCCCAGGGCAGCAGCCAAGTCTCCATCTTCTCTGCTCGGACAGGCAGTGGCCTCCCAGGCTCTGCAACCCACCGAGGACTGGGAAACACTGATGCCGTGACCCCTTGGGAGCAGTCCCCAGACCCCACGGACCCTGACTCAGGGAACCACTGCCGCTTTCGCCTGGCTCCTGCCAGTGGCACGAGGGCTGCACCCAGAGGGCAGGATGTAAGCGTGGCCCAGGCTATTTCTGGTGTCATGGACCATGTTCCAGCCAAGGGCCCCAGCCACCTTACCAACCAGGGCCTGGTTATCTACCCCTGGGATGCTCTAACCAGCGGCGAGGGCTGCGTATCGGAGAGAGCTGCCTCCCAACAAGTCCCCAGACCACGTGCCAGTGAAAGGCTTCCTCAGATACCTGTCCCCGTACCAAAGACTGTGAGAGGGGGCCAGCCATGGGCAAGGGAGCCGTCGTTTCAGCAAGTGGCTGAGGTCCCCTGGGCTCAGCCTCTCCTGACCCCCTCGGGTCAGAGGCATCTTCACACAGGAGCTGCCCTGTCCGGCTCTGGCAAGCCCCACAGGCCTGACCCGGTGGTGCGGGAGTCGTTGCAGGGAGCCAGCCTGACCTGTGGCCGGCTCAGAGAGCAGCCACGCTCGGGACAATGCCAGTCTCCAGCTTCCCGTGGGCATGGCCGGAGAGCGTGGGCTGTGAAGGAGGAGCAGGTGCAGCTGTGGGCAGCAGAAATCCTCCTGGCCTTGGAGGGACTTCACCAACAGGGAGTCTTGTGCCGGGACCTCAACCCCAGGAACTTGCTGCTTGATGCAGCCGGTAGGTAGTGCCCCCGGCTGCTGCTCCTAGAAGGAGGAGATTGGCCTCTCGGCTGGGAGACTGCCGTTTGCCCCACTTCCAGGGCCACGGACTTTCTTGAGTTTGCTTTGGGGGAGGGTGGGAGTCCGAGGAGGTTTGGATGTTTCTGAACCTGGAAGTGCAGTCTCAGTTGGGATTTCCAAGCGGTTATTACCAGAGATGACTCTGCAGGGGTAGGGTCAGGGGCCGCAGCCACAGGAATGCATTGCCCCTGCTCCCACGTCGGGGCTGGCTGCCTGGGAAATCCCAGCATGGGTAAGCTGAGAGCAGCTGAACTGTGCCTGAGGTTAGTGGGATTGCAGCTTTCCCGTGCCCGTAGCTACGGCTCACTAGGGTAGTCTGGAGCCTGCCCATCCTTTCAAGCCATGGGTACCGCTGCCAGTGCAAGCCAAGCGCACCTTCCTGCGCAGCTGGGACCAACTGCAGAGCTACAGCTTGCTTGGGAAAGGAAAAATGCGGAGAGCGAGGCAAGAGGCAAGCTGACCTTCCTTCCTTTGGCACTGCTGCTTTCCTCACTACAGCCTGCCCTGAGGTCCCTGAGCTTGGAGCCCCCCGACGAGTCTCACCAGCTGCATGGGCCTGCTGGGCAACTGGCACAAGCACTAGGAGGCTGGGGGGTGCGCGGCACCTCTGCGCTCAGGGCACGGCAGGGATCCAGTGCCCTGGCCGCTCCCAGCCGCGGGAATACGGGTTGGCTTTGTGCTCCGACCGCAATCCCTAGCTTTGTCCTCACCTCCCTGCTTTTGGCCCCGGTGCTGCTCTGCAGGTCACGTCCGTCTCACCTTCTTCGGCCAGTGGACAGAGGTGGAGCCCCAGTGCTGCAGCCAGGCGCGGGAAGAGCTCTACAGTGCCCCAGGTAAGGGACCAGCCCCTGTCCCCGCGGCCCCATGCTGCCAGCTGGGTGGGAGGGGGCTTCCGCAGGCAGCGCGAAGTGCCTGGCACAGCACAGCCACTGGCACTCCCGGCCTCCAGCTCTAACGCCTCTGGCTCTTTCTGCAGAAGTGGGGGGGATCGCGGAGCCCACCGCAGCGGCTGACTGCTGGAGCTTTGGTGCTCTCTTGTACGAGCTGCTGACAGGAGTGGTAAGTGACAGAGGAGCTGTGCGAGGGGTGAGGAGGAGGTGACAGCGTAGCGTAGGAGCTCCATGCCACGCAGGGCCGGGAGGGTGCCCTGTCTTGCTGGCACCTCAGCACCCTGCCAGGTTACTTCAGGAATGTGGTTCCTAATGCCCGTTTCTGGGTCTTTAGGGCCTCAGGTTTTAAATCCTGCTCTGTGGAGCTGGGGCTGTGTGGCCATGAAGGCAGGTCCAGGGAGGGGATTCTCCCTCTCTGCTCTCGTAAGACCCCACCTGGAGTTCTGCATCCAGCTGTGGGGGCCCCAAC